CAAGCTAAGTGAAACTTTAATATGATGTGGCTCGGCAACGAGTTTTCTGTCAGTGAAGCAATAACTACCCAAATTAAGGTTGCGAAGGAGATTAATCCAGTCGAGATCTCTGATTTCGTATCCATGTGGCATGCTAGCCTCAAATGAACGAGATCTTTCCCTATTACTAGGGTCATGCACGGAAAAATAATTAATGAGGACATAAATTGATCCAAAACTTTGCCGACGGGAATAAGGCTCTTCTTTCAGCTGGTAGGTAAAAACTTGAAAAATACGACAAGGAGTTCCCAATCAGGTTCCCCGCATGACAGGTCAATAACCTTATTTACTAAGCAAATTCTTCCTTCTGGTTCAATAATGAGAAAAGTAACAAAATAAAATATCAGTCTTCAGAAGATAGCCGGTTATTGGTCAGAATTTCCACTAAACTTTCTGCTGCGCAATTTTTTTTCTTGCTTTCTTTTTTTGTCATAACAGATAATTATGATGCGAAGTGAGCAATAATTGCATTGTGAATAACCGGAATATATAACTTTTTTCATGAGCTTATCGCACAATATAACATTTGTGCATCTGGTGCATTAACGTTTTGGAATACACTCGTCTCACGAAAGATAATGAAACTTGAGTTTGATGCTATCGTTTTTGGAGAGTCCTTTCTGTTTTTCTTTCCTTTTTTATCCTGTCAATTTTTAAAAGTTGTCTTCTTTTTGGCAAACATAGACGATGTACACAAAAATGAATGAAAAGCCTATGTTTTAGAAACATAATTCGTGGTGGAAGATGTATTCATATCAATGATAGTGGAAAGTTACATACCAAAAAAAAAAATCAGTCTGAAAGGAATTAATGAAAATAATTAGCATACCCGCACCGTGAACTTTGTTCCACAGTCTTATAAACAAGAAGGTTACACTGTTTCTCCCAGCTGAACTGCTCTTCATAAGATGTCTGCAGTCGCTGAGTCTCTTGTAGACGCTCTGGTCTCTCCTTCTTATGGACAACAGTAATTGCCTCAGCCCACACCTTGGGGTCCTCAGAATCAACCACAAAAGATTTTCCGGACGGCACTTTACGCAGTGCATCTCCGAACCCCGAGTTTCCACTAACGAGAATGGGAAGACCAGCTGACAATGCTTCCAACGCGGTTAAGCCGAACCCTCCCGTCCGTGATGGCATGATACAAAGATCAACTTCACAAAAACACTCTCTCAACCTCTCTCGGCATTGCAAAAACTTTCTCACTATCAGCTGACGATTAGAAATACCACTCTGCAGCAAACGTTCTTTGACTGCCTCCTGTTTTCCATCAGGTGCACCCACAAAGATCAGATGGTAGGAGTTGTCATCCAGTTCAGCTATTGCTTTAGCAGCGATATCATACCCCTTAAGAGCGAAGTCCTCAGGGTCACCACGACCAAAGGTCAACACCCTAAACTTTTCAGAGTCAACTGGAGCATGTTTTAAAGTGGAAAACTCCTTGAATGTGCCAGGGGTCAACATAAAGATGTCTTGCTGCTTCTCGCTTGAGCGTAGATAGGCAGAGTACGCCTCCGTCAACTTGGGTCCTACCGCTACAACTATATTTGCCAATTTACACAAATCTACTTCAGCTGTATTCTTCTGTTCTCCTTTAGCAACGGCTCTAGGATGGGTCTTGAACATTCCGAGCTCTTCGGGCGCAGTGTGCACTACTTGCACCCATTGGCACCTGTGAGACTCTCTGATGACTTGGGCTTGCTTTCCTAGCTTAGCGCCATGACCCAGGACCACATCAATGATGAGCTCTTTAGGTGGGAAGCTTAACCAGTCAAGGGGATCAAAACCAGGAAGTTTCTCTGCTTCTTTAATGAGAACATTGTGATTCCAAGCGGTCCTTTTGTCTTCTTCAGAGCAGATAAATTTTGGGACTAGGAAGGTGACCTCTATTTCCCTGCGTTTGGCCAGTAGTATGGCAAGCTGTCGATTGATGGTGGACAAGCCCCCCATAGACGATCCCCACTCGCTAGCCAAAAGAGTAACTCTCAATGGTGACGCACATTTAACCGGGTAAATTCGAGCTGTTGCATCCCATGATGTTTCAGACGCATCAGTTTTGCAGGAATCCTTCGAAAAAATATATATAGATATTATTCCTTAGTATATACATACTAAGATTTACATACTGAAAAGATGCGAAATAAATTTTCATCCACAAGCTGATCGATTACATTAATTCTCTGACAAATCAGAATCAGGTGAGTGAGTGGGTTTTTCTTCCATACCTAAACCTCATTGTATGACGTCGTATGACATCGTATGACATCATAACATGGGGTAAAAACGTAGTGGTATTTATACGTTCTCAGCGTAAAAGACAATTAAATGTTACAGATGGTTTGCTCTTTCATGCCATTTTAATCAGTCACTCCTCCGTTGATCTCTTCCGGCCCGTGGTTAGGCTAGCGTTTTGGCGCTTTCAAATGGTGAGTTATCCATCAAAATTTGAGAACTTGGGCGGTCCTTTAGATCACCTTGCACGAGTATTAGAACACTTTAGTTTACCGATGAACTTGAAAAACCAGCAATTGGAACGATGAGAAAAAACATTATAATGTCCGTTAGAAATCCAGTAGTTTCTACCCGTTTAACGGAATAACCTTCAAGGTTCTTTTGCCCAGCAAGGTCACAAATGATTATTAACAAAGTGAAAGCTAAAATGCAAATGGCATTCTTTCTTTGATGAAGTGTATAGTTACCAAGTTTACAAACCTTTGTTTGGTTCTTCTGTTACTATTTTCCAACTTGCCTGTTCCGAAATTCACTTTCAATTTATGAAAAAAAAATGGGGAAAAGTCCCGGTGAAAGCCGGACATAGTACAATTTGGCAGATGGTGTGACAGCTTTAGCTCAGCTCAACGCTTTATACTCTCATAGAACACGCACTTTCAACCAGTGACAGCGCACGTTATATCCGAACTTTATTATGAAACAAACTATGATATTTTAATAGTACCTCGGTTCCTCCCGATGAAAACCACAAATCCTGTCCTTGAACTGTTAAGACCTCACTACATCCAACGCTTTCCATACAGATCAAACGTTTTCCTTGTCTAATTTCGAGAAGGTGTAAACAGTCCTCATGTGCACACGAGGATTTTCTGTGGATGGCACATTCTTGAACCCTTTGCAAACAGTACGGACATTCAACAGAGAATTCATACCTCAGTTTGCTCAGGTATGGGAATTCTTGCGAAAAGTGTTCTAAGCTACTCTCCAAGAACAATTTCACGCTTCTTGCAACGTCTGCAGATGTTGAAGGTGAGAGAGAGACTGGAACTGCTTTGGCTTCCTTTCTTTCTCTCAGTAAAATTTTAATGAATCTTTTCTGGCAAATCAGGATCATATCATGTATGCTGTTTCCCTCTAAAACAAACCAGGCTCCATTCTGGTAGAGTTTCTGCAGGTGTGATGATTCATTCCCGGCTGCCGAAGCCGTCGTCCTTGAGACAAGGCGCGGGAAAAGACCATGCGGAACAAAACCATCGAGGAAGTGGACATACAGAGGACAAGGATCAGTGGATGATGGCTCCATTTTACGAAGCTCTTCCGGTGGGGACCTCAGTTGACATGGTACAAAATACTTCACGTCAGGCAGAGATGGTGACGAGAACTTTGCAATCAAACCAAACAGCTCCATCATGTCCAAGATGTCTTCTTTGATAACGCCTTGACGAAGAAATTTTGAAAACACGTGATCAACAAGCTCTATGCTGAGGAAACCATTTCTCTCGAGTTCGTGCCAGTGCTTTGATTCCACAGGATCCTAATTAGGAATACAATGAGCTCGCGAGGTGAGGTAATAAAAAAAATACACCCGTTGAAAGAGCAAATTCGACAACACTAGCTATCTTGGGAAGATTCCATCTCAAGTAAAAAAAAATAGATGTTTGAACACAAATTAATGTAAATCCAAAATGGCATTGATGAAATCATTTTTTTTGAAGGAAATTTGTGGAATTTTCCCTGATAAATCCAGTTTGGCTAGTATTGCTATTGCATCGCAGCACCACGCAATTCAGTGCTTCAAAACCGTTGCCTACTTAAATTTGTTGATTTTGTGAACACCTCGAAACACGGCTACTATCTATCCTCAATTCAATAAATGAACTAATTTGATTTCTTACATTAATTATAGGACAAAAAACATTTTAACGTGAATTAAAGATTTCATACCATTTTGTCAAATGGGGGAATGGTTATCAGCTTCCTGAACAGATCAATTAGCCACTGAGCTTTTAGAATGACCGTACTGCGGTGCTTGACAATAATTCCCAAATCGTGATAAAAATTAAGCATGGTTTTGAAATGTTCATCCCCGTCTACAATGTTCGCCTTCTCGACAACCGTTTGAAGCTGCTCCATATTCATAAAATAAACATTGCCAGCTACCAAAGTCTCTACAAGTTTTTCAAAGTCGAACCACCTGCACAAAAAGAAAGGCAATAGTCTCAAAGGACAGAGGTTTATCAATTTATGCAATGATTACCGCACGCAAGCTAACAATACTTTTAGGTGCAATTGTCATTGATGCAAAACAAGCTTGCATAATAATAGACTGCTTTCTGTCCCCTTATTCGCTGAGAGCACATCGACGTTGTATTTCTCCAGCAGTCAAAGTCCCATCAAAGTGTTTCATTGCAAATATGAGGGATTCTGAGAAGCAAAATCTGAAACGGCAATTGTAGGAAATCTTATTGTAATTTTCATAACTCTGCAATCAAATTTTATTTCGTCGCTCCTGTAGGCAAAACGCTCTATACCTAATTGGTATCCTCTCTCCCATGTATGGCTCCTTTCGCAAAACTTCCATGATTTTGGCACGGAGAGTATGAATCTCATCACCAATAGCTTTGCCTTTTTCTCCACTTTTTCCTTGAAATCATAAATGAGATCAATGATAAAAACGTTACTTAGTATAAGTAATTACATGATTTTGGGTGCAATTTGGAACTAGTAAGCACCAGTAAATCTTTTCAAAGCTTAACAAAATTATTTATTTATTCCAAATTGCACGAGAAAAATTATGTGATTGCGTATTATTAATATACATAAAAAAATACGAGATAACAGAAGCAAAGCATGCGCATCAAGTGCAAAAATAATTTATTCAAACTCTGCAAGTGACAATCTGCGCTCGGTTAAAACAACCGCGTGCGATCAAAACAATAATATACAATGATATTTTCACAACTTTAAGGCACAAAAAAGTTCAAAGTCCGGCTAAACAGTTCAAGGAATTGTTCATTCTGGTTTGTTATTTCTTTGCACTGAATTAACCCCCTTCTGCAAACTGTATTTATCTTAGGTAATCAGAACTGAGTAATTTTTTTATGTATCTTTTATGTAGTAATTAGTATTATATGTATGTCCAAGGGCCAATTCTCCTATCAGATCTACGTATTGAAAAGAAAGAAAGAAGCTCTCTCTTGTACTCACACTCTATGACAGAAATACTTAATAATAAAATGGTTTGATATTGAACTTTTTTCGTCATTCATTGAAGTAGTTATCTTCAGAGCCAGATTATTCCACAAATAACGAATTTAACCGGCTGATTGTGGTAGGTTCCACGCTTTTTGTTTTATTTCAAAAGACGGAATAACATCTAGTGACAGGTGAATTGTAATCAATTTAGTTTAATTCCTGCCCAGAACTGAGTCAACGTGGACAGCTTTAAAGACAACTGATCGTTCAGATTATGATATATTTACAGCTTGTCAAAAATATAACTTGTTTTCAATTACATCTTTTTCACTTTACCTCTCTGATGACTCCCCTGTGACTGCTTACTGAACAACCTCTTCAAGATGCTTTGCACAGGTTTGTTTTGCTGTGTTTTACCAATCAATGACTGGTGACTTTGTGTGTTATCAATGTTGAGCAAAGGTGGGATCACATGTTTTCCGTACTCCTTACCAGATACAGCCTGTTGAATCTTTTCCTTCACAGTCTCGGTATTTTCTATTGGTTGGTAAGCATGTGTGCCGACAATGAATACTGGGGGTCGACGGTAGGAAATCAGTGTGTCTGAGTTGTCAACTGGCGTTCCCTCGTCTTTCGGTTTGATACTGTGAATGGTTGCAAGCCATGAAAGCAGATCTTCAAGATTTGTTACTCTGCCAGGGTTTTCCAAGATGATGTTGTGACAATCTTGTCTCACACAAGGCTGAGCTAGGGTATTCAGTTCTTTGCTGAGGTTATGCACAAGGATATACACGGCTCTTGCAGTAAAAAATACTGAGTGAGCGGCATAATACAAGTGTTGTCCCGCGAAGTCCCACAAATCGATAGTTATAATCGATTCTTTGTCATCTTGGGGGCTTTGTCTGTCCTTACCGTCAATCATTTCCTTCAATAATCTATCAGCACGTTCCACCATTGTATCTGGTATCAATTCGGACTCAAACTCCATACTTGCGCAATCGCCTCTTTTCTCTTGCGAGCAACCACGGGTTTGGTTTTCTGTTTCGTCATCTTGCTTTTCACTTGTTGACGAATAAACGTTCGGACTCTTAGGACTGTCTTCAGTACAAGGAATCTAATAAAGGGGTTTTAGATAGGCTTTTAGGTCTTACCTACGTTAACTTACGGAAATAGTTACTCTCTAAAATTAGGGAACACTGTTCTTTTCCGGTTAGCTGCTGTTGTTAAGTCTAAGAATTAAAGTAAAATTAATTCATAAGAACAATGAGTAGACCGTTTTTGTCTGAAAAGCGGAGCTATGTATGTTTAACATTAAGAAGTGTATTGGCCGCAGTAATGTTTACTTCTTTCATTCCGAAGAAAGTGCTGCACGTGCAGAGAGATTAAGAAGGAAGTAGAAGTACTCCTAGTGTTTTTTTTGCGATAGAAATCGAGAAAAATTTTCCCGACGTTAGGACGCAATTCCAGTACGTCTTTCAACAATAGCTCTGATATAAACCTAAACAAAATAGTATTTTTAACAGTATTGTGTATATATATTTTTAAATTTTCAACTCTGAATGGTGCATTTATATTGTTTTGATTGGTTCATTTAACACCAGTTGTCAGCTCATATTCCGAGTCACCCTATAAGGAAATGAATTACGCCAACTGTTCGGAGCTGAAAAAAGACTCCATATATCCAAACGTTCAGTATTTAATGAAAATTAATAAAACTATTATTCCATTAACGCGCGTTAGATATGTTGTGGTTTAATTTTATCCTTGGTTCAAATTTTGTTTTCCTTTGTTTCAAACTCATTATCATACATTACAATACCCACAAACAAAAGAAAAGAAAATTTGAACCAAGGATAAAATTGGACCACAACAGATACGAGATTGGTTATGGCCAACTCGGCGCTATGCACTTCAGTGGCTATTTACCATCTGATATCCAATACGCACTCGTAGCACAATCGTTTAGTATTTTTTCGATTTACAGGTAAATTATTCCTTTTATACTAATTCACATCTTAATGAAAAAAAAAAAAAAAAAGGTTTGGTGAACAGCATCTTTCTTCCTTGCAAAAATGCATCGAATGGTACGGGAAAATATGGTCATAAACTTCAAAAAATTCACACGAGATCATATGGAGCGTGTGAATTCAAAACTTGCACTGCAACAAACCTCGTTTTCATCCTTGATGTTGGAGTCCTCCACGGGTTGTTCTTGTTTGGGCTCTTCATAAGGTGCTCCTTCTGATTCAGTTTCTTCTATTTTAAGAATCCACTGATACCTTTTTTCAGCCAACATTCTTGATATCTCTTCAGAACATTCACCCAAACATGATTCTTTTTTACCAGTGGGATTCCAGTTCTTAATTTGGTCAACTTCAATGGTACACTTAGATGGATCGACCTCAATTCCATCGGTACTCTGTTCGTCAGGGTCAAACGGTTGACCCAGGAGTGACTTCTTCAAACTTGTTTTGCCAGCACGATCCTGACCAATGATCAATATTCGAGCTCGGCAAACACTTACAGACCCATCCTTTAGAGCGTCTTCATAAAGCTGTTTTGCAACGGGTCCTTGGGCCAGTATTTCGGCTGGAACTACAAGATAAAAAATGAAGCAATTAGTTAAACAGCAATCATATGTTATGTTTCCCTCCGTGTTAATAATGGTCCAGCGTCGCCAGGAGTGTACTGATTCAAGAAATATTAAGAAAAGAAAACGAAAAGAAAGTCGACTACGATTCTTAAAATTTACGCTCCTTTTTCAACTTTCATGAAGAATTCAGCAATTGATAAACCAGCGTCTTAGGAGGAGTAGGAAGAGAGACTGCTGCTGTTCGAAACCATTTTTAAATTAGCTATGAATTTGTCCCGCGTAACAAAAAGGTTATTATCTCTTTGCTTCTTTTAAAGATCGCAACATAATATAATATACTCGTTAAATGTTTTGAGGAGAATAAGATAAACCTAACTGCTTTTGATATGATCATTAAAAGCGAAGGAAATATGAATGAAGATCAAAGCAAACGAGGAAAAAAGCCATTTATTGCACGAATCGCTTGTTTTAGGATAGTGGACGTCTTTTCCCCACTCTTATCAGTGTCCATGGAACAAAATTTTTTTCATCATTGACGTCACCCTTACACGCTATCCCTCATTGCATGAGAATCAATTTACTCTTAACCGAGATGTCCATAAAAGAAATTTATATTTTTACGGCCACCTGCAATATCCAAATGAATCCTTCCTTGATATTTCTCCTTTAAGTCCATCAGACTTCTGACAGCTCCAAAGTCTAAGGGGTTACCATTCACAGACAGCTTCTCAAGTCGTTTCAGGCAGCTGATATCTACATCAAGTCTTTGTAATTTGTTATTCCTCAATTCGAGCACCTTAAGTTTTTGCAGACGTTTGATATCTTTCGGTAGACAGGAAAGTTGGTTGTCGCTCACGTTAAGACAAATCAGATTGGTCATTTCAATAATACCATCTGGCAGCCGTTTCAGCTTATTTTGACTCAAGATCAACATTGTCACATTCTCCAGATTTTTCAAATATCTTGGTAGTTGTGTGAGATTATTTTCTGAAAGGTTCAGTGTCTGTACTTCCCGTAATTCTGCAACGGAGTCAGGAACTCTCACCAGCTTTTTTCGTCCAAGATCTAAGGCCTTGCTATTTTTATCTATTGCCTTCTTCAAATCTGTCACCGATATACGCGCCAGCTTTAAGTTGTACCCTTAAAATTAACCATAAACCATTGACTAAAATTAACCATAAACCATTGACTAGCCAATAACGCTATAGTGGAATACTACTAGTTTACTATGCAACGTTTCATGGCTGAGACAGTAAGACAGATGCACTTGTGTAGTAGCTTTACTTGTGCACTAATTTTTACCATAACAGCATCGCGTTTACCTTTTTAAAAGAAGGTTGCTTTAAATAGCTGCTGTTGGTTTTGTTGTGTTACTGCAGAACTTCTCTAGTGCCATTTTGTTTTGCAAACACGAACGTAGCTGTTCTTTGGACACGAGTTTAATTTTCTCTTTGTCTAACGCTTGATAAACGTGGGTTACTTACCGATTGCCAATAACAATTCTTCCATGTTGCCGCCACTCTTGGCTGACAATTCAGTAAAGAGATCTATTCCATTGGATTCTGCATAGCTCTGAGCATCCTGAGTGAACAAATTGCAAATTAAAACCTTCACAAGCAGCTCCCCCTTATCCCGGTCAAGCTTTCAGTTGTTGTTGAACATATCTCTAATTAGAGTTAAATTGTAACCGTTCTAGTCTTTTCTTAAGATGTTATCAACCGGCGTTGTTTTGACAGTGATTGATCTTCTAAAAAGGCGAAATTCCTTTCTGGCCGATCATTTGTGTTGAAATGTATTAGACAATACAAAAGCTTGACCTGAACCTTAAGATAACTCATAACATTACTTAATCCTTTGTAGTTTAAGCTTAAATAGAAGTGTGTTTTAAAGCTTTCTTTGGTGAAAACAAGCGTAGTTTGTGGTAAAAACAAGTGTGGTACTTGGTTTTAACAAGCGTAATACATGGTCAATTGATTTGGTCAGTATTTTGGTCAGAAATTTGGTACCTGGACGTGCCAGGACCGCAGATTACAACGTGTGTTGAAGTCAAGTTTACTGTGAAAGTCTTTGTCAACAGGTGTGATAGATCCCGACATTTCGTGCAACTAGCGTAAGTTCCCTAGGAAGAGACCTTCTAGAGAGAATTTTGTTGAATTTTCCCCATCCGTCCAAATATTTGTGAAGGCAAGAAACCTGTTTCGCATTGTGCAATTTTTGTAACAAGGTAAAATAAACGTTTAAAGGATAAACAAACATCTAATCTGTGACGGAGAAGAGATCGATGGTTTCCTTTCTTTAGTTAGGATATCTAGAGGGCATTTAACACTATGCGGCCTTAAAAGACAAAGGAAACAATTTGATGACATGAAAAATTTTAAACAAACTACCTCACGTTTCACCTTCCTGTTAGCTTCAAGGTCTGCTTTGTTCCCTACAAGTACCAAAAAAATGTTTGGGATGGCCATTTCCTGGACCTTTCTAACCCAGTTCTTTGCTCTTTCAAAAGAAGGTTCCTCTGTTATGTCATACACAACAATGATAGCATGAGCTCCATCGCACTGCTTTGAGCTTAAACTGTCAAATCTCGCTGCACCAGCGGTATCCCAAATATCAAGTTTCACTTGTGTACCATCTTCAAGATTTACTTTCTTAACAGAAAAGGAGACTGAAAGTACAGAAGTTGATATAAAAAATGGTCAAAAACACGTACATAATCAATTAAGTGTTTCTGATTGAAGAAGCATCTCTTACCTCCAATTGTAGAAGGGATACGTTGATTGATCAAGCCATGAACACATCTGTGAAGCAGCCACGATTTCCCTACACTGTTACCACCTATTTCATGAGATAATCACAAAAGGTGTTTGGAGGGTTAAACAAGGACGTTGTACTCTTAGGTTGCGAAGCATGAAAATTCACGCTCACTTATAGTTAAACAATAAATGCCCATAACTGTATACAAACACGTGAAGACACAATTCACAACGCACGAAAATGTCACAAACATATTAGAATGATCCGGATGGTGAAGAAAATAACAAATGATGGTTTGTGTTTCAAATTTGCCGGTGTATTACGCAAAAAACAATGAGATGCAAATACAAGGTAGGGTACAAAGGAGATAAATTCTTAACATGAGCTGTTGCTTAATGAAGCCTTGATGATATCTCATTAACTTTATCATGTTAAAGTTTTCATATTTCGATAAAATGCAGGTTCCCTTCGCAATACATGGTACATTTGGATCTAAATCAACTTCAAATTACCCATGCATTGCAATTTAAGCTCATGTTCGATGTGTTTGCTTTCTCTGTTTCATCTATTTACAATAGACAAGAGAGGAAATCCTCTCTTGCTTTAAATTATATGCACTACCTTGCTAAAACCTACACACCTTTCCCATCATATTTAAAGCACTTACCTAAAAGAACTACTTTGAACGAGTTTAAGACAACAGAACTGGGTCTCAACATTGCGAAGTATCGTTTGAATTCTAGACGATCCAGCAAGTTTTGTCAGCTGAACAAGAAAAAGGAAAAAAACATCACTGTACCGACTATTTAGTCAAGATGGGCCACATAATCGCAAATTTAAATGAAGTACTTGTTAGAGTGCTCTTAACCGTGAGGTTATGGATCTACGAATATTTAACATTCATTCTATGAGCTTATGTTGGATATGACAGGGTAAATAGCTAACGAGGTGAGTTACGCTGAGTTGTCTATAATCAATCTCGTATCCAAAATGTGCGAATGGAGTACTTATTTTATAAAACTTTCCACTTTTCAAATAGTTGTGGGAGCCTACTAAAAATGTTTGACTCTACATTTTCCTTTTCAAATTTAAGCGACCTGAATTCAGTAGATTTTTATTTATTTTTCTCTTTTGAACTGAAGTCAATTTACTTCCGACCCCCAAGAAGGCAAAATTGAATCACATAACACTGCAACGCTTTACGACCGAAGCTATGAAGACTAAATTTACACAGACGGAGCTGAATATCTGCAAGAGACATAATAAAGCCCGATCCAAGAAACGCTCAAAGGTACAACACCTGCGAGACAAAGATTTGAGTTTGCTTGACCTGCTTTTGAACAGTTTGTTCAAGTGTTTTTTGAATATTTAAAATGAAATCATTACCGTGACCGAATCTTACTCGATCGTCTTTCTAATCAGTCGTCCTGGGTAAACAATTCGAGAAGGTGATTTGTTTATGAATTTTGCATTCATCGCAACAATCCTGCAAAGAATATAGTGTCAATTGATAATAAGTGTTATGCGGATCATGATATTGGTCCTTATAGCAGTCAACTGCAAATCACATCGACAGACTGGCTGTTAAAGACATAATGCGGCCAATTCTATCAAACATCAAAAAACTAGTACAGATCTCCCGAATTCTATTTTCCTTCGAATCTATTGCGCTATTTGATGAATGATCTGAGTAAAATGGTACATGGATAAAAAATAAATATATATATATTGGATAAAAAAAAAATATATATATACATATATATATATATATATATATATTGATACTGAAACGGACCGTGGCTGATTATTGCAAAACTGAAGGAAATGGGAACATTAATTAGCATATGAACCTTCTTTAGGATGCGCATAGTTAAGTGACAATAATTATTCTAGGAGTTAAACGGCTGATATTTGTTATCGTTTAGCACTGATTACATTTTGGAATAAGTTGTACATTGGGTTTTAATCAACACCCGTCACAAATAAGAAAATGGCCTTTAATCAACTAAAATAATCCCAATTTAACTATTTTGCAGCACTGCTTTCTCTTCCGAGTAGTTATTATGGCTCAATGATTCTTCCTGTTTTTACTGATATTACCAGAGCATTATCTTAAGGGGAACAACTGGAATAAAAACTATCATATCAACAAGAAAGACGATTAGTTATATCTTTCACTATCTTGAAGACAGCTTGTTCTCCAATTCAAAGATAATGAGGGTAGCAACCATATGTAAATATACATTGAAGCTTGTTTACGAATATGGTTCCGCACAGTTTTATCTTTGAAACATCGCTTAGAACCGGCATTACTCAGAACAAGAACATCTCTTACCAATCTAGGGAGGTTGCCTCACCGGCGTTGTCCTGCACAACAGCCTGGATGATCAAAACTTTTCTCATCAACTAAGATGTACCTCACAGAGCTTCCAAAATGACTCAAGTGACTCAAATTGGTTGTCAATCGAAACGGATGGGTGACCTGAATGATGCAAAATTGAATCGCCTTGAGGCGGCGTGACGAAATCAACTAATGAAAACAAAGGACGATAATAACACGACGTTTTAAAATCATATGATTATTTTTTCGCGTTTCTATGGACCTCGACTTCGACTTCGTCAAATTACGCATTTATCCTTTCAGAGGACATTTGTTTTTAACAACCAAAGTCACGCAACATGGTTTCACAAGAGATCAACTGAGGTATTACCCACACTAGTTTGTGCGTTTTTATTCGGACTCATTCGATAAGTAGAGTGTTCTGGAAAGGTATCCGTTTCTTACATCTTACGACTACTTATAGACGGGAGCTCTTGGAAACGTTGACGAGAACTGTTTGATATACTTTCGCATCCATTCGAATTTTTTGGCACAAATAAAAATATACACATCCGTTCCAAAAATGAAAACATAATAATTTAGACAGTTTAGTAAATGTTAAGAGCGCTAAGCGCGGGTGTGATTTCAAGAGAAGCACAATGTAATTGCATTCACCAAAGGTTAATTAAAAAAAAACGAGCTCCGCAGGAAATAAAGTTAGACTAACTCCACTGATTCCTGTGTATCTGCTTGAGACACTTAATTTTCTGTTGAATAAAAACATTCTTGCCTTTCAGGCGTGATGTCTTGATCTTGGTCGCGTGTAGAGAGACAAGAGACGTTTAAGAGGTGATACCGATCGAGGTCCTCTAAAGCAAGGAAAATTTGGGCGTTTAAATGCACCTGAGAGGACAATTAATAGGGATGTGTAGAGCTGTATACCGTCACGGAATGAAAAAAAAATACATCAACAAAATCAGACTAGCATGTCATTTGAACAACAGCAAAAGTAAGTGGCCAATAACATCTTATTAATCGCAATAAAATAGCATTAAGTAGTGTTCATTACTGCGAAAATCGCTCTAGTAATCATTTCTCAATCCGCAGTTGTTGTATTTAGAGCTCAGATACACTGTTGTCCTGCACAAACCATAAAAATTAATCGTTGCGTCACGGACTATTGAAAAACAAAAAGCAAAAAAACAAAAACAAAACAAAGCAAGACAAAACAAAACAAAAAAAAAACAAACAAAAAACAAAAAAAATTGATAGCCGGGGGTGCCTGTAGAAGTGTTATTCCACAGGAAGACGTATACCGCTGACCTTGCGCTCAGACCGTCGGCGGGAACTTTGAAAAACAACATGGCTAAATCTAAAGACAACATCGAGGAATCAAAGTTCCTGAACTCGCCAAAAGTTGAGCTCATTGAGTTTTTCCGCCCTTACAAAAACGAAGTCAATCTTTATGTCACCAACTTATCAAGGCGGCTTGAGAAAGAAATGGTGCAAGTGAGGTTTAATTTAAAGATGATCTTTAGTCCTATTTAGGTTACATTTGATTGCTATTTATAGCTGAATTTGTTTACAGGTGAAACTGTTAGAGATATTCTCCCAGTTCGGCTTGATCTACGAAGTACAAGTGATGGACTCATCAGATAATTCAGAAGGTATTTTACAGAGACAGTTCATTCCTCCGATCTATAACACGAACTGGGAGTTTTGTTAAACTTTGGGAGCAACTTCAGAATACCCCGCAACTCATTTACATGTCATTGAATAAGAATAGCGTCTATTGTGTTTTCACATTTTAATAGTTCAATGTTTACAAGAAATCTTAATCATTCTAGCTTCAGAGGAGATCAATTCAAACTGTGCTTCTTCATATGCATTTGTCAAGTTTTATTCCGCAAGGGAAGCAAGAAGGGCAAAGGAAAGCACACATGGAAAGTGGATTCTAGGAGGACAGTTTTTGAAGGTAAAAAGATTATTTATGTGTTTATGATAACTGTTTGGTAGTGATTTCTGCGGCATATCGTTAGAGTACAAGTAGTTGATAAGTGTCGGACATAACCTGAGAGGTTCGTGCAGGTGCTAGTATAAATTTGATG